TAGGGACTGGGCAGTGGGGACAGACACACACACATGGCTTGTAATGCAATAGGGCTGGGAATTCTTTAATTTCAACGCTATACTTGATCTCTGGGCTGCATGACTGACCACCTTATTATCTATAGCGACAGGAGCTTATCAATACAGAACTCGCTGGGTCCAGAGACCAAAGACAAACACTTCCTTCATGCAGATATCCCCTCTGGGCATGAGACGTGCAGCACAGGCCAACCAGCTGAATTCCACAACTGAAAGGGCAGGAGACTGACAATCATTTCCAAACAGTCAAATTAGTAACAAAATGTAAAATTAAACAAGGAACATTTTCACTTCTAGAAAGCTTGCCTCAGTGTCGTAGTCATAGTAATAAAAAAATAAAAAATCAGCATCTGTACTGAACCAAAACAGCAGTATGTTTACAGATGTAGATGAACAAACATCTTTCCCTGTAACATATCTGATGCCACTTCTTGAAATAAAACCATCACAAACAGCAGAGCTCAAACATTGCAGTAGTTTGGTCACCACGCTACAAATGACCAGCAGCCTTTACAGCCCGCCGCTTCACCAGCAAGACGTTAGTACAACTGTAGGTGGAAGTGTTACATTAAAACGAACATGTAATAATCGGAATGACAGGTTAGAACATCCTGTTGTAAAAGTTGCCTAGCAGCTAACCCTACTGAACCTGTATGTTAAAGCCAGATATGGTTTTAATGCAGGAATTCCAATTTGGCACAAATGACTATGTTTCACGTGGCTGCTGAAATATGAATCATCTTGTTCACACTGTTGCTCAACTTGACCACCAGATGAATATGAGAAAATACTGAAATGCCTCCATGCAGTGTGCACAAACCTGGCTTATGTAACTGGGACTGACTTGACCTCCTGCTGACAGAGGCTACGTGATGATGAGTCCTAACATACATTTCATTGTTACTGTAAATGGTAATGTAACGTTGTATGTTTCACGTGGCTGCTGAAATATGAATCATCTTGTTCACACTGTTGCTCAACTTGACCACCAGATGAATATGAGAAAATACTGAAATGCCTCCATGCAGTGTGCACAAACCTGGCTTATGTAACTGGGACTGACTTGACCTCCTGCTGACAGAAGCTACGTGATGATGAGTCCTAACATACATTTCATTGATACTGTAAATGGTAATGTAACGTCGTACGTAGGAGACACACACACACACACACGAGTCCTTCCTGAGACAAATGTTTGATGAACTAATTTGTCAGAATTAATTAAACGAACGCCTTACTTTCTCTTTACTACTGACACAGCACACTGACTTCTGTGACAGCCACCTGTGCGGCAATGAGCCGAGAGCAAACATCCATTCTTTATGGTGAGCCACTCTGCCAGGTGCATTGTTCCCTCTTGTTGGGGAGTGAGTGATGACTTTACTGATAAAAAAAAGAAACATTTATTTGCTGCTTAAGGGCAGTGAATATTTACTTTCGAGGTATATTAAATGCCCTTTAGTCATTTGAAAAATCATTTGTAACTAAACAAAAGTGATGCAACAACATTTGCTGAAGGTGAAATACTTTCATTAATTATCACTGTCAGTCATCACGACTGTCATGTGCTTCTTTTGTAGTGCACCACAGATAAACACATATTATACCATTAGTCTAATATAACTGATTACATTTGCTAACTGAATGTTGTTTGGTTGACAGGAAACTTTTTTCGCATGAACTATCTGGGCGAAAATTTTAAATTTTTTTTTTATCTGCAAGTGCAGACAATTTTTATTTCTTTCGTGTATCTACTTCATTTAATCCTTTTTAGTCTGTCATAAACAAAAGCCCTACAAGTGTCAGTAAATTAGGCTCATTGCTCCATGTGTCACAGCTTTAACTGTGCCTATTCATTAGTCTAACGTTAGTCTGATATGTTGCAATTTCACACTGACACCATCAGAGTCTCTCAACAAACAACTGAAAACAAACAGGGAGCAGAGTGGGTGGTGGCAGCACACCTTCAGTTACAGATGTGAACCTCCCAACAATGGACACCCTCAGGCATCCTGTGCAGGTGTGACCTGGATTTGATCAAAAAAACTTAACTTCTTACCTAGAGCAAATAAAGCCAAAGCTGCCCAGGTGCAGCTTTTGTTTGTGTGCGACTTTTGGCACTGAAGGAGCTTTCGCAACAGGGCTGGGGAAGTAACAGCACAATGTAGGCAGGGCACTGAACGCTTTACAAGTTCAGCTAATCAGAAAGATAGTGGCGAGCTCCTTCTACAGACCAACACAAGAGTGCTTATGAGAAAACTGGAGTATTTAAATTATATCAGTCAACTGTTTAATTGCAGAATAGGCTTCATTTCCTAATATTCTTTTGTCTCTCTCTTAAAGAGGGGGACACAGGAGGGGGGCAGAGCCAGCACACAAAGGGAAGATGAGCTCTGTTCATTAAGAGTCATGTCTGCTATCAATCTTTTGTAACGCTACTTGGGCCAGGACAGACAGAATAACCTGACAAGTGTATTAACTGACAGCTGTAATTTCAACCTGACTTGAAAGACACAGCACGAGATAAAAGGAGGACAAAAGACTGACCCCCTCTGATGAATGAGGCGGAAGATGACAATGAATATGTCATCCATTAAAAGGAAAGCCAATAGCTCAATGACTAAGTAGTTTCTCTTCCTTGTCCATTGTGCACCTAGAATTGATGAGTTTCTGCATCTTTACAGGCTTTCACAACAGAAGTGAAGTCCTTTATGGCAAATTGGATGTTACCTGAGCCAGTAACATTAAGCACTGATAAAAGGTAAAAGTCACATAAAACAAATTAGTCCTACTTTGTTTGATTTAGATTTTGAATGAGCTAAACAACAAAAACAAACTACTGACTGTGAAGAAGGACTGGATGCTATTTGTGGTTTTTATAAGGCTGCTGAATCTGCATAGAATGACTTACAGTAAATAATCTCAAATAATATGTGTAAACATAAAAAGTAATGGAAAATGTGAAAAACAGGTGAATGACGAGGACTGCTTTACATTAGAGCGCAGTAAAAACGTGCAGAGATGAGGACCTGGAATGTTTTAATGGGACAGGTCCTCAGGTTTGAGGAGCGTGGCAGATTGGAGCTTGAGCCATGTGTTTCAATAGGCCTTTAGAAAGCCCACACTGAAAGTCTGACAGACAGCTTATAGTGCTGGGTGGTCCTATTACTGAACCTCATCACACACTAACACAAGTAACTTGATCATAAAATGTTTTTTAGGTGTAAATGAGAGCAGAGGGAAGAAATTCAAACTGTGCCTAAAGTTCTTCAAACTGTATAATTGTTTGAAATTTTTAGCAGATGGTTTTATCAAAACATTGCATGAGGAACATACTGTATGTATAGATACTAAATGAATCAATGGATACCAGGAAATTACAGTTAAAGTATTAAAAATATACAGACACTACCATAAGATGTAAAGAATACAAGGCACAGCATGTTGTATTGTATGTCCACGTGTGCAAATATTGTCCAGAATACATCTGTGTAATGTAAACACACCAGTAAGGTCAAGCCTCATCAAACTTTATCAAGATTACCTGTTTCAAAGAGGAGAGGTATTAAGTGCACAAATGTGCCTTCAATTTGAGACAGACTGGGGCTCAGAGGAAAATAAACATGTCCCTGATTGCAGTTCTCAGCAAAGAAAGCTGTTAGAAGATGAAAAATGAGAAATGGTAGTAAAATATGTCTCCAAAACAATGTTGGTAATAGACAACATATTATTTACCTTGTTTTATTCTGGGTCTCATTCCTTTATATAAGAAGATGTTTTAAATCATTTATTTTTCACAGGAGTCAGTTTGAGAAGGCTGCAGTTTCACTCTATGTCACAAATGGTTTTAAGTTATAAATGGTTGAGGACGGGGGTTGCACGGTGCTGTTTACACAGTGAACATCCACAGGGAAAACTTCTGGTGTTACTACAGTACCTCTACTCCTCTCCATGCACTTCATGTGATCTCATAATTGCAGGTCCCACCGGGGTGGGTAAACTGAGGTCAAACCAGACTAATTTTTGCACACCAGCATCTTGGAAGTGAATCCTTAGATCTCTATCAGCACTAACACTCCCTGCAGAACAATGCCGAGTACAGTCCCTCAAACAGCACACATTCCGTTCATCATATACTGTGAGTAGAAACAGGGGATGGTGCCAGAAGTAATGTTTGTAGTAAAAATAGCCAGCCTCATGGTCAGAGGCTAAAATCTTTCCCTGTTGCATCTACATTTAATGAAGCATGTAGGTTTTGCCCATGGCTTAAATACACTTCCCTGAATTCGAATAATTGTTGAACAGTTCCCAGCGAATATTGAATAGTGTTTTAGCTTGAAATGCCCAACCCCTAGTCATTATGGTACTTGATGATTTGAGCAGATAGACAGGCAAATTGAAAGCTAAGCCCATATGGAAAGGTCCAATTTCTCCTTTGCAGGCAATACGGTGCCTACATCACCGCCCATACTGCAGCAGCACGCCTTTCTTTCTCCATCATACTCTCACGAGACCTAAAGAGACTGAACTTCTTCACTTCACTCCCAAAACAGGTATTTTCTGACCAGTGCCCGGCAGAAAACCTCAGACTTGGAGCTGTGGACTTTGATTCTGACAGCTTTCCCTGTTGTCGTGGAGCCAGGATGGTGACTTTAAATTCTGGCATCACCCAAAAAAATTGGAATTTAAAAGAGAGGGTGATTTACAGACTATGGAGACATGGATCCAGAGAATGACCCTCTTCCTGAGTCTCCATCCACAACAAATCTGGCTGCGACCTCAGCAGCAACTTCTCTACTGTTGTCTTTACTCACAGAACTGGCTGTCATGGTCTTTTTCGGGAGGTCATTTCCACTCAACTTGACACAGTATGGATTTTGTTCCCATCCTAATGGAATTGCAGAAATATTTGAGGGGAATCCCATTACGTAGCAATTGGAGTGCTGCAATAATGTACTCACAGTCATTTTCCCGCTGCGGTTGGCCTCCTCACGCTCTGCCAGGGCTTTCAGGAAGTTATCTTTGAGTTCTTTTCCTGCACTTGCCAGTGTCCTGGAAAAGACAACATTAAGACGGTTCACAATGTTTCTCATAACCTGAAAAACGTCACATGAAGCCTTAAAGGTCCCTTATGGAAGCTTTTCACCCTTTACCACACTGTAGCTTCAAAATCAAAACGGTATTAAGGTTCAAACTCAGCTTTACACAGAAGTTGTGAGAGGAAGTAAAAATCCCAAACTTCTCTGAAAATATCAGTGAAACTGAACTACAGTAGCAATCACCTAGACACCGCTGAATATTCAGAATTTCTGCATACACTTTGTCTGCTGCTCTGGCCAACCGGAAGCAAGTTCAGTTATATTCTACATTAACAAATCCTAAAATCCACTCTCCACTCCCAAAATACTTTTAGAAAACCTCAGCAGTCACAACAGGCACTGACAAACAGTCAAATTCTACTCTTAGTTTAAAATAATATTAGAGCAGACTACGAATGTTTAATTTAGGAAACTGGAAAAATTTGGATTTGGAAAAGGATCGTCATTATACTAGTTGTTTGGCCAATGGCCCGTAATGCAAGTCTTAGAGGAATCACAAAGTGGGAAAAGTGCATGGACAGCACATATTTGGAGGCTGGAACCTCACTCCATCTTCTGAGTGAGTGAAGGATTGCTGCTGGGTCATGGGGGCCGAGGCCCCAAAGTAAACACAGGTGTTGAGGAGGCAAGTGACCGAGGTTACCCCATCCAGTAGCTAAAGCAACACACATAGTCACAGAGAGTGAATAAGACTTCAGCAAAACACATGGACCAGTGCAAGTTTGACTTTCCTGTCAATTAACAAATTTCTTATCAGGCAAAAAAATAACAAAAAAATTCCCCATTAAATGGCAGTTATTAGTTCCTATTAGGCATTCAGCTAACTGTGACCTAGCCTTGTGTTTTAACGGTCTTGTTTTGGATTGTGGTCAAGGTAGGTGGGCTCTGGAACTAGTTTTAAAAAAAGTGAGGAGGGGATCTGAACAGTCATCATGTGGCTTGTTAAAAACACACTTAGCAGCACCTGTCCTGCAGATATAGAGCAACCTCTGAAACTAACTTTGTGCCGCTGTGTCAGCTAAAAGAGGGTAACACTACAAAACAACAGAAACATAAATGTACAGCAGGAGTTCTGTGGGTTTCAGTGAATCTGCTCCTTGGATGTTTTAACTTTCTTAACTTTGGATTTCAAGGTCTTTTAAGACCACCCTGTCCTTCAGAGAGACACCACTGGCTGTTTGCATTCCCGCTTTAGATAGGAAGTAGGAAATAGACGGAACACCAGAAGTAGCAACACTAAAGTCTTAGGAGGGATTCAGAGTGACAACAACCCTGAATTCAAACATCACAAATTCAATGCACAAATCTAGTTGGAGTAACAGAACAATGTGTTTAAAGAACATAAAATATTGCATAATGACACATAATACTCCCAGACAGGATTTTACAACAAGCAAAGTTCTCATGACAGCAACTATTTCATCTTCCATGCAGGGGCAGGTCTAGAACATTTTGGACAGGGTGTCCAGGCTGGGGCACAGACTCAGAGAGGGTTGGCACATATGAAACCATGAAAAGACTAAATTATGAAATAGTAGACCATACAGTATTCTGTGAAAATATAAAGCAGACATATTGGTTTCAACCAGTGCTGCTGAAGCAGCAAGAGAGGGTTAGTAAGAGAGAGATGTAGGAGGAGGGCAGCAGCCGACACGCTGCTGCTGTGGGACAGCTAGTGCAGAAGGGACAGGTCAGATCAGCAGCACAACAACACTATAGCATTACTGTATTTAATAAAAAAGTTATAAAAGCTTGACACCCTTCAGAACTACTGCAACAATTAGAATGTAATTCTGTGTGAAACTCTGGGGCAATCATGCCACAGCAACACAATCAGAGAAGTAAATGCAAATATCATGCTGCATGTATGATATAAAATAAAACAAATTTTTACCAATATCAATAATAATGCAGCATTAAAATGTCAGTTGTATTTAAGGCAACAATTTGTCATGTATTAATACTAACAAGCATCACACTTTGATTCTAGCACGGGTGGCACCAGGGGTCACTAATTAGATTCTGCGTTGGCCAGTGCCACTCCTGGCCACCCCCTGTCTCTGCCCATGCTTCCATCACAATGAAAACGAGGTAAACAGCAGAAATACAATGTGTTCTTGCATGTATTCATGCCTTGCTGAGTGACATGTTGCAGTAAAAGTTACAAGAGCCCTCTGTACTGGCACCAGCGCTCAGCTGCTGGACTGGCTCCATTTAAATGAATGAGCAGGTCAGAACATGGCCTTAAGCTTTAGAAGCTTTATTTATTTATTTATTTTTATTGTCATTGTAACATTGTGACATGTACCACAAAATTTAGTTCGGAGCTGAGGGGCCCCAGGCCGCTGCATGTGTACGCACCGCCACCACGGGCAACTTCGGATGGATAGGTGTGCAAACCAGGCAGTTAGGCATGACTTCAAAAACAAAGGCCACAGGTAAGAGCCAGTCTATATGAACTATGTCGTCTCTTTTAAACTTAAAAATGTAAAGACTGCAGGAGGGTTCACAATCTTATTGCCAGGCCTTTAAAAAGATGTCAGGTGAGTGCAGCCAAAAACATGTCCCACTTATAAAGAAGTGCACACACACTGACGAAGCAGCAAAGAGGCTCTTTGGATGCCAAAAGGTAAACTGATTCCATGTGTTTGAGGTTCTGCCCTGTCCTGTCTTTGCTGATAGACTGAGTGCCTATTTATGTCTGCTGAGTTACAGGATGTGTAAGCTGTGCTGACAATGGTCAAAAAAAAAACATCGTCGGCAAAGTCTTTTGACTGAGACATTCATAGTTTTATTCACATTTTTTCACAATATCACCTTTAATACTTAGAATAAAATTACCGTTTTGGCATCTGAGAAGAAACTTTGCTGATTTGTCAGTGTATGGGCGCTGTTTCTATATGTGTTTTTTATTTTACTGATGCTACCCATTTAATTCTGAAGCTTCTAAGGTATAATTTTCTAAACTTTCTCATTTATGCTAATGCTAGCTTTGCTTACAGGGGTACACTATGTAGCAAATAAGATGCTAACATCCTTTTAGCAATGTTAACATTTTATATAGCATTGTCTAAAGAATGTTCCTGTGAATAACATGCCAGTTATAGTGTTTGTAAGCTGGTCATCACACTGTTTTATGACTGCGATCAGTGAACTGATAACATCAGTGGTGTTGTTCTGCCCATACACTGTGATACACTCTAACCCCAGAACCTCCATGTTAGTTAATATCACTGTGAAAAGGGGCCATTAACAGCAACATGTATCTCACAATAAGTCAGAACCTAGCCACAGAAAAAGATGTACAGAACCAGTACCTTGTTACTTGCTGCTAAAATGTATTTTTCTAACAACTGCACCCTCCAGATGTTTCTCTGCAGCCTTTTCACATCAATAAAGTTGTGGCAGCACTTGCTATCAACTCTACAGCGTATCCATTCATTTCACAAATTGTATAACTATGGCATGAAAATGTCACACAATCAGAAACTGAATTAATATTAATGAATCAATGTGCCCCCTGGTTGTCAAGAAACACCTGTTCACTGTGTTATAAACAGAACTTTATGTAAAGCTTTGTCCACCTCTGTTGGGGGTGACCAGCTGTTACTGCACAGCAACTGGCCTCCAAGTATGTTTACACATGTGTAAACACAGCATTTCAGTGAAATGTGCTCAGCAACACCAAAACCCTGGGGCCTCCTTCCTGGACCAAAAGCTGATGTTTTGAGCTATTTATTCTCAGTAACATCTTGCCTATCAGACATGTTCTGGAGTTCATGTTTTTGCAGGGATAACATCATCTAACATCTTTTAGGTGCTTCTACTATATAAGATTTGGATCAATAAGCAAAGGTGTCACCGTTTCTTGGCATTTAATGAACAATATAATGTGAAATGAGACTTTACAGAATCATGCACTGTCAATTGAACATGTTTCTTCTCCTGCCTTCGTTTGGACATGTTTAAAGTTTGCTATGGGTTAATGTGGATGTCAGAGTGGGATCAGAACAATTACACAGTGTGATGTTTTTGACAGTCGCATTAGAATCTTGTTCTGTTGTGCACCAACATTTGCTGCATTTGAATTTGAAGTTTCTCAATAACTGAAATGTGAGATGCAACCTTGAGTGTTTTATTTTATAACTAGTACATTTTGTAAGGTAAGACAGTAGAGTCATTTACATGTGTAACTGGAAAGGTGGAGGGTTAAACTGTAAAGTAGCAGGGTCAAGAACCAATAAACAGATTCAAAATGCATCACCTGGCCAGTTCAGAACCAGTTTCTGATGCCTACTCTAATGTGATATGTAGCTACGTTTCTCTACTTGTAAAACAGACTACTTTCTGCTATCTCTATTGTTACCATCCACAAGAACGACAATCCAACAAAGTTATAGCCTACTACATGCATCCTCTGTGGAGGCTGACCTTATCGATGGCTGTAACTACTGTCCTGAGTTGACGGTACAGAGAAATATCCAATCAGCTGTTTGATTAGCTCGGCAATGCCATCAATCACACAGAGGTTTGAACAAACACAAGTTATTCCTGTTGCCAGCTTACATTTCAGTTTGAGATCAGGTCACCTCTCCCTTATTTTTCAGTGCATACAACTCAGCATTGTTTTACATTCATTCTGATATGCCGCCTTTGCAGCCGTGATTCAGCTTAGGCTCTCCACAAACACACTTAGGCCCTGCACCAGGATCCCCATGATGGTTTTGACTCCTGCTGTTCTCCAATTTATGGCACCATCACATGGTGCTTTTGTGGTGAAAGAATGTAATATTCCTATACTGTAGTTTGTTTCCACAATATAAAATCTGTATTTGTGAATGGGCTATTTTGACAGCATTTATTCAATGGCATCAACCCTGGTCCTAGTCCTTTACTAGTGTACAAAGACTTTAATTACCTGTTTGCACAGCTGAAAAGAGCAGCTTTAGTAGG